CTCGATCCTCCTTCTTTGAATTCGATTCCAAAGGAGGTCAGATTATTGACCTCTTTAGATCCTTTTTTGTTTTGGTGTAGGTGTGGTAGAGCTGCTGGGAACACAAAGTTTCACCTGTCTTTTCCTGTCCAACTTCATGAAGAGCTTGAAAGCCTCCCATTCGCAACCCTGAAAATCCACTCCGAACTGTTTGCTTAATTTCACCACGTTTCTGTGAACCCATAAAGAAGCTTCAAGTTCTGCTAACTGAATCTGCATCTCCAGAGGAAGAGGGTCCTCCATTGGCCATTGGTGAGGTTGTTCTGTTGTCACCAATTGTAACTCATTCACCACATAGCTACTGTTTGCCAAATCCCCGATTATCTGATTTATACCTTCATTTGTATCTATGTTGCTCACATCTGAAAAGGCAAGGTATAGATCTCCTGAGCTTCTTTGTGATACTTCTTCTCTGTTTTTCACTACTTCCACCATCGCCAATTTCGTTCGATAGATGTTTGCTTCGATCTCATCTAACAAAGGGTCGTATTTTATAAATGTATTGGGCCTATTTTCAGTCAAAGATTCCAATAAAAAATCAGGCTCAACAGCTGCAAACTCCTTTTGTTCATTTATATTCAGACTCTGGTCCAGGCCCATAACTTGGCCCAAAACTCTTTTCCCTATAAAACCCTCAGCTAGGGCCTCTTCCTCCCTAGCGTGCTCCACACAGGAAGTCTCACCCACGTGCCCCACACACTCCTTATTTTTGAAAATTTGCGCAGTCATCTCCTTACCCACGTGCCCAACCACTCTATATCCCCTAGACTCAGACAAGTGATTGGACTCCTGCAATTTCACGTCTCTAGTATCCCCGTCATACTTTCTACCAACTCTCACCGTCGGCGTCCATTCGCACCAAATCGGTAAGGTAAAAATCAGACAATTTTTCTCCAGATCAATGAAGCGAGGAATACTTTCTGGTGGACCTCTAACTTTGATTCTTGCCCACTTCAGGTGATTTTTCAGTGTTGTCTCCTCTTCTGTTTCAATCCACCCGCCACACTTATTGCTTATTTCCACCATCACCTCTTTTGTCCAGAGATGAAGAGGAAGCCCAATAATTCTGACCCACAGCCAGTCGATTACTTCATCGGACTTTGTGCATGCAAGTTCCGGCGACCACCATTTCAGTTTCAGAGGTTCGTGCCTCCACTTCCAGTCACCTAGCATCACCTGGACAGCCATGTTCCTGTTGGGAAGTTCGAACAGATATTGCCGCTCGTTCAGATCATAAATAAGCACTCCATATACTGACTTCCATTTATCAGCCACCCATCTGTGCAAATCTGCTCGAGTAGGAACTTCTGACTTCCCTGAGAAACTGCCTATTAAGCACCTGCTTAACAGATCATTTTCTGTGTTGTCATCGACTTCAGAGAAGCTGATACAGTCACCGTGATGCTCAATCCTGTCACCACCTTCCTTCAAAGACCATTTGCTTTTGGCTAGAGCATCACCATAAGAGATTTTCATAATGGGAGGCAGCTTCTCAACATCATTCACAACTCCTTTGTCTGTAAACTTTGAGATTTTTTTAGCTATATCTCCCCACCCCCTGTTAGGAGCCAGTTCAGGAACAATAATAACTGATCTCCTCTCCCCTTGTACTGCCACAATACTGATGAATCTGCCGTAACTGTTGTACTTCTGAGAACAAAAGTAATTGTCTAAATGGTCTTTAAGTTTCCAGTTGTTATACCTATTTCCCTTGGTTCCTGTTGCCAAATGTAATAAATGGCAAATCCACAGCAGGGCCTTCTTGCTAACTGTCATTCTGTGCATTGAACTCCCTTTCCTTTCCACCCAATCATACCACATTTCAGAACCAGAAAAGTCTTCCGTTATATCGAAAGATTTGCCTCCCGCATTAAAATAAACAGTATTGTCCATATTATGATGATCTCAGATGAAAACAGGATATAGGAAGGGAAGAAAGATTTCTGGTGCTGAACAAAGGTAAACAGTCGCCGAAATCTGGGGTATATTCGCCGGAAAATAGAAAAAGTCGTCTGATTTTGGTGAAACTGAAATGTGTAGGCTTGGAAAAGCCTCGAGAATAGTGTGTTTGAAGAAAAAAGTTTGAAAGGTTGCCGGAATAAGCCACACGCGCCGGCGCGTGGCTGAAATCTCGACGGAAAAAACAGTCGTGTTGGCCGCGTGTGAGGGCGCGTGAAGGCTCGGTTGCCGGAGAACTTTACTGGGGTTTGGTTGCGGGAAGCTTGGCTCTTGATGGGGGTGATGGAGTCCTAGGAAGTAGAAGAGAGAGAAGAACCTCGGGCAAAACAAATGAGCTTGACATCCAAGCTTCCCCTAACAACAAAAAGAAACGTTAAGATATAGCTTTTATCCTAATCTTGTCTATCACAAAGAAAGGCAATGCCCTTCATCAAGAGACTTTTAAGCAGAAAATGATATCCTTTGTGTTGCCTGGTGGAATACGCAATCAGCTAAGTCCATATTATTTGAAGAAGAGGGTTCAAACAAACTACTAGATAAACACAAGTCACCACCCAAGAACTGTTGGATCACTACCAAGCAAGCATGATAACCGTGTCTTGATTGTATCATGAGTCCCAATAGAGTCAATTGCGGTCGGTAGAGGGAATATATTTGCAAGGCCTTGTGATCACCAACAATACTCAACACACCACTATCTTTGTTCATCTTACGCAACTGAATACATTGACAGATAAGAAACACTGGAGTCATTGCTGCTTCCAGATATTTATTAAACCACAACACGTTCAATAGAAAGAAGAATCTAATAATAATAACAAAGAAGGGTGGAAGAGTGTTAGAAACAAAAAGAAGGTTTGTAGAAGACTAGTTCGTAATTTTTCTTTTTAATTTTTCCAGTTTTTACATGTTTTTTATTCTTTGAGAACATTACTAACTTGAGCGAAAGAATTTAATCCCCAGGTTCCACGGAATTCTCACATCAATTATCTCTTTTCTCTCTGCTCTACGAGGAACACTTTTGCTATGGAGCTGGCATCTTCCCGGACTCGGGGGGTCGACACAGAAGCGCACACAGAAGACCAACACAAGAAAGGATGGACGTTCAAACAACTTCACCAAAATCTCTACAACTTAGCCAAAATCTCTCTGATACGCAATTCAAAGCAATCCAATCATCAACAGATCCTAGTGCAAAATTCTGACAATATTAGTATTACGTTCGGACAACTTCACCAAAATCTCTCAGCAATTCAAACCCAATTCAATCATCAACGGATCTTATTGTTCATTTCTAACTTAATATAATAATAATTAAAAATATCATAAAATATGATAGCTAGATAGAGAAAAGATATGTTGATAGAAACATATTTGGAATCCGAACAAGAGAGAAGAAGAGATAGAAGCGGAATACCATATACAAAGAAAAATCTTTAAGGCTGGTCTCTTGTTATGTGAATACATTACACTTGATCACAAAGAGGAGAGGAGAGGAGAGGAGAAAAAGGATAATCTAGATCCATCTAAACCCAAGACAACCCAATTAAGGTAGCGTTGCACAATGATTCGAAATCACATATCATTCTCAACCTATTAGCTCTAAAGTCTAAAGTGAAAGGAGTAAGGGGTATTTATAAGCTTTCATAGCACTTTTCTGCTCTGCCAATCACAACCAAACCGTTAGACAATTACTTAAATACTCAATCGCAAACACAAGTCTAGCAGCAAAAGATAATAATGCTTGGGAACTATGTTAAGATTCAATCGAAAAAGTTATTTTTAGAAAAAATAATTACTAAATCATCAAAGCAGCTTAAACTTTAAATAAATATAAAATAAACTTGACATACCTAAACTTGCACCTCATCAGAATAACAATCAATATCAACGTCGAACTACCTTTTTTTTTTTTGGGGGGGGGGGGGGGGGGGGGGGGGGGGGGGGGGGAGGGATTCACTCAAATGTTACTATTTTGAACCCTTGACCTATCCTAACTTAACTAGAGTAATATAGAGATAATTACTTGTGTATATGACCGGAGAAAACAAAGAAATAACCCTTCAGGTCAAACAAGTCGATCAAATTGAGTACTAAATATGTCATAGCGTTAGCCTTTTCTTCAATTACACATTAATTTTCATACAAATAGATTTCAAATGTTTCCTCATAATTGCACGCAGCAGAAAAGAAATACTAGTAAGTAGCTGACTCTTATTAACTTGCCAGCGTCAACACAACCAGCTTTTCAATTCAAAAGGCAAAAATTATCGGTCACTTATCTAGGTTTCTGAATCTTTGGGTGCTAAAAGATCTTACAGGCTAACCTAAGCTAAGGAAACTCGACGAGAAATGCACCTCTTTCTGTAGCTTCTTCGCCTACTCCAACTATCAATGTCAACATACCACGGAGCAGCTGTATTTCTTACTTGCATTGCTATAATAGATCCTTGTAATCACAAAAAGATAATACTTTTCCAACATCTACGGCCATCACGATTGATTATTGTATTGTGCTCTTGTAGGAGAGTGATCCCTTAGTGCTTTAATAATGTTGAATTTCTCTTACTTAGCTCATAATTTGTGAAGGTAATGAATTAGCGTCACATATTCAACTCAAACATTTTGCAGTTTCATTTCCTCAAACACAAAACAGGCACGAAGTCATGTTCAAGGCATAAGAAGCTCAAATGGGTAATTATGAACTAAATAGCCTGAAAATCTACTTGGATATACAAATCCTTCCTCGTAATTGATAGTTAATGAGTATAATATATCAATTTGACCTATGTACTATACCAATGATAGTAAGAGAAACATTAACAAAAGATTGAAAAATTAGCTTGACAGCGAAAACATAACAAAGTTAAAAATTGAACAGTAGTTTATACAAAATAGAAATGCCCGAGGTTGTGAAAGTCGTATAAAAATGGTACGACATCAAATTGACGCGCAAAATGAAAAGAATACCAGGTAATTGTAAATTAAAGAAGATAGCAGACCTATCGGAGTGGATAATTTCCTTGGCGAGGAAAATAACGGGCTCGATATCTTTGAGTATCTGAGCTTCTCGTTCTTTCCATTTTCTATAGTCCGGGTCAGGCCACCTAGGGTACTTGGGCGGGTCCTTGGTCCTTAGCACGGCGGTGGTCTGTTCCCCATCTGACGCGGCGTCATCGTATGGCTGAGACGACTCAGAAGCAGCTGAAAACAGCCTCGGAGCAAGTAAAACGAAGGTAGGATGCTGGAGACGTTGATAGCAAAAGCGAAGCCGGAGAAGAGGGAGACCTCTGAAGAGTAGCGGAGCCGCCATTGTTGGCGTTTCTGTGAGTGATCAGTAGTTTTAACTTGTGACCCAAAAGTAGAGGAAAAAGCAAGATAGTATCCTAAATATGAGTATTGAAGTATTTTGGTCCTTTATATATATACTACCGAACATAAACATCTTCTATGTTTGCAAAAGTGAACAATTTAGTCCAAGCTTTAAAAGACTCCCTCTAACAAACGAAAATGTCACAACTTAGCATGACGTAGTATCGAACCTTATTAAATTATTATGTTATTTATTTTTGTCTATTGTTTGTGTGGGAGTATGCTAGTTTAATATTCACAATACTTTCCAATACTAATTGAGCTTATGTGGCGTGTTAATGAGGGCCAAGCCACCTTTTACTAAGGATAATCAATCAAAATATCACGAAAAATTATACAATGGTATATAAGTAAAATATTAAATTTTAAATGTATATAACATATATATTGAACATCCTTCGTCAAAAAAAAATTATATCTTTCAAATCTGAACAACCTTGAAAAATTTTCTGGTTTCACCACTAGTGTTATTGACCATAGGATGTGTGAAATAAAATTCATTCTAGAAAAACATGCTTGTAATGAATAGCAAGTTGATATAGTAAATAGTATATAGTATGTTATGAGTGAGTATTAGGAATGAGCATTAAGGCGTAGTAAAGAGGTCAGTGATGAGAATGAAGTTTTGGCTTCGATATGCCATCTATCCTTTGCGCAATATTTAAATTACTAGTTTTTGGGCACGCGGACCCAATATTAACAAGTATAAAAATTTAAAAATCACATTTGCTTTAGAAGCCAAGATTTGACTATATTGCTCAAAAATGTGTCTCAAGCATTACATGATATTTATACTTCTTTGAGAAAATAACTTGAAAAATGTGAGCTTGACTGTCGGGAGAGCCTTCAGAGCTATGAGAAGATGAAACAATTATATATTTAACATGAGTATAATCACAGGTATGATAACATGGAATAATATCTTTCAAATGATAACATGGAATAATATCTTTAAACTAATTTGCAGCAAAAATATCAGCAATTTAGCTAGAGTTGTTTGGATGCGTATCTGTATGGTGATATACATGTATGATAGTTTCAAAAGACTAATGTTAAAATGTGAATTTCGATACATATAGTACAATAAATCTTCTAAAATTTTAATAAAGAATTATTTTAAATTTTCAACCGAAATATTTAATATACGTTTTGTACATAAACTTTGAAGAAACAAATTACTTTTTTTCGAAGTTTTAAATCTGTGAATGAATATTATCCATAGGGTAATAAGAAACAAGGAACAAAAGCTAACCGGTTCCCTAGATCCCTAGATATTCGAGGTTAATATAATAAGAAATGTATTGAGAAAACAGATGGATATTTTGCTGATAAATTACATATGCAACATGAATCAAATGCTTGTTGTACCACTTAAGAACATGCATATATATATATATATATATATATATATAGACACACACCAAATAGTTGTCTTATGCGAGCAAATTGAATCTATAAAAGTGTTACGACCCAAATTCACGTGACCGGCACCCATCACACCACCCGACTCGAGCGAACCAACCCATATGTCAAGACCAAATATAATTGCGAAAGCCAATTGAAAATACTGTACTTTTTCAAATCAAATCAGAAAAGATTTTTCATTTCCATAATCATACATGAAACTTTTCATAAAAATGATATAATCAAATTTAATAATTATTTCTTTATGCATGACGTCCACAATGATTTTCACCCATTTTAAATATCATATTTTTCATTTTTTTAAAAAATGATAATAACAATATAACTCAAATGTTTAATCTCTTTATCGTCAATATAAATTTTTAATAAAACTTATAATATTTGCCTCAAATGTTATTTGACATCAAGTCCTTGGAAACAAGATTCTTTTTTTTTTTCCTTTTCTAAAATAATAAGGTATTTTCTATGCAACACAATTTAAGACAATTGGTGACATTCTTTTCTGCTTGCCCCCATAAGTATGGATGCACATTTACAAATAATTTGATATAGTCCAAATCATAACTTTAGAGAAAATCCCTCGAGAAGAGTAAGTTTTAATCAACTTACCTCGCTTTCGCTTTATTAACATTCACAAGCTTTCAATTTTCTTCCATCGTTCCAATGTTGATTAAAATGCTCAAACATTACCAACAAGTCGATATCTACAATTAGATATCTTAATTACATCAAAATATGATCTAAAATATTGACCTATATCCATTTATGATTCATAAGTTGGACATGCTAGCCCATTCAACTTTATTCTTATATTTTAATACCCATTCGAAACCATTAATGATACTACATCAATTGTCCAATGCCGCCAAGTTACTATTCACCGTCTTCCATAATCAACACTTGCAAAATATACAATTCGGGTAATTGCTTAGTTGATCACTTCCAATATTTGCTAACAAATAATTCTATAAGTTCATTGTATTCATCAATTTCATCGCCAAGATTACTATTCATCTTCTCTCTCATTTTTTCAAAAGTACTATTCATGCCATGAACTAGAGTTTTATAATTCAATCTTTTAACCATTAAAATTTATAACAAATGCTATAAATACTTCTAACTACTCATAATAAACGAGTTTGAAGCATTAGAATTACCTCTAGTAGATCAATCTTAAAAAATCACAACTTTGGTGATTTTTATGTTCTTGAGGATTTGATAATGAAATCTAGTATTTGTATGTAAGAATGATATCAGAACTCATGTATATTGAGTAAGAATCAACCTAAAATATCATTAGCAACATACTTTAGTTGGTTGGACTTGATTTGAGCTTAAAATCGCCTCTTGACCACAAGAACCCTAACCCCAAAAGCTCAAAATACTCTATCTCCCTGACTTTGTACTTATAAGTTCAAATTTCTGGGTTTCGGACGCTACCTCGGATGCTTCGCGTCCCCAGATCACTCCTCCTCCAAGCTCGGATGCGAACCCGGATGCTATGGTAGTACTTCACTACCAGTCTTTGGTAATTTGATCACAACTTCTTGTAGGAATGTCCAAATGACGAACGGTTTGAAGTATTAGAAATTAGATTCGAAGATATTTCATTTGACATTTATTCACCACATAACTACTTATATATATATATATATATATATNACTTGACTTGTCCCAAAGGCTCTCCTTAGCCCCTATATCACTTCAAATACACCTTGTACACTTGTTATTATGTTCACGAGATATCTTTAATAATATTAATTAATACTCGCATACAAATAAAAGTTTATCTTTGAAGAAAATTCAACCAATAGTGATGTAGAAATCCCAAAAATACTCTCGATCAGTCAAGTTAGGCATACTTGATAACCTGGATTTTCACATCCTTGTGCGCCTTTGGTGGTTGACTGCTCTTAAATATGCACTTGTCCAATTACCTTACCAATCTCTAACATGTTAATTTTAATACCCAAATGTGATCACAAGCTCCTCCTCGCCCCCTCTCCCTCTAACAGGTAATGCAATAGTGTTGTCATAACCAGTAGATTCCCCTTCTCTTTAAGGTCGAGGAAGGATGTACATTGCACTCACAGCTAAAAATAGTTGTCTGATTGTAAGAGGAATAATACATGCTCAACCAGAGGAAGCCAAATTGTATAAGAAATGTAATTAATTTCATCATTAAATTTCCTCTACAATTCACCTAAGACAAATGAAAAGTCATATTGCCATGTCCTCGTTGATTCCAATTAACTGGCGAAGTTTTTTCCAATTCAGACGTTTTATGTAGCCATAATTTATCATTTAATAGGAATCCTATTGAATAGTCATCTTCATTTCGTGTACAGTTATCTAGTGAAACTAACATAGCATTACTCCAAATAAAATATTTAATGGCAAGTAATTAAACTTTTAGGTAGATCGTAATTTGATCGTTCAGCTATTGAAGGATAATTACATAAATTAACTTTATCTAAAGGGTTTCACACTTATAATATAGTATGATGATATGATGATTGTTATTCTTATCGTTCTATTTGTGTTCTATACAAATAGAATGTCGGTCCTTGGTTTGGCATTGATGGTGAAATTTTATATCTTGACCCTATGGAAAATTTGGATTGACTGACCTAATTTGGTTGCTAACTTATATACAAATACTCTTAAATTTGGCGATTATTCATCTGCATCATCCATAACTTTGACAAATTTATTTTATTTTCCTGATATTTCTGCTTCTATATATGATATATCGAGGGAGGATGTGCATCATTCTATGTTCCGTTTACAATAGTTTTTATTTTCTGCCCCTTGGCCTTTCCTGCATTATCTTAATTTGCTTTACCATTACAAGGATAAAGCAAGAGAGGATTATGCTTTTAGAAAAAATGACTTAATTATGTGGGTGGTAAGCACAGTTTTGGAGTTTGATGGCAAGAATTCCACTTACTGGCTTAAATGGCAGTAAACTAGCTAGTACTTTTAACCCATCTAATGGTAGACTATAATCCTGTATTTTAATCGCTTATTGTACTCTAATTCACTACACGCACTCTAATTCACTGCACTTTACTTGTATTTGATCATTGGTAGTGTTTTGCACTGATTGTGTGTTCTATGCTTTGTAGGAGACGATGCCGAGTTAAGAAGATATTCTGGAGCTAAATCGAATAATTGGAGCTTTGAAGTCTGAGTAAAAGCCAAGGAATTAAACCGGGATCGCGTCCGGGGCTCGTGGACCGGCGTTGCATATGAAAGTTGGAAGAAAGAGCAAGGGCTAGAGCAAAAACGTACTAGTGTGTCGCATAAGGCGTGGCATTAAGCGTCGCATTAGTACAAAATTTTGTCAGACAAGCTAAGTTCAGAGGGATTACAACCGAGCAAATTGCACTAGTGCTACACACCCTGAGTAGCATTGTGCGATGCATGAAGTGTCAAAAGTTGTAGGTTTTTCCACTTCGGCTCAAAGAGGGTAGTTCCGTCTGGGTTCGTTCCTACTTGGTATAAATACATTAGAAACACATTTTTGAGAGGACTTTTGATATACTTTCGACCTAAGAAAGCTAAGGAGGAGTTGGAAGAAC